AGTCTATAGAGGTGATAGGATAGCAAACTATATTTATGCAAATGATGCATGCTCTTAGGTAAATACCTTAAGAATATGAAGGTTTATCTCACTGCCAAAATTCCATCTCAAACACATTTGAGAATATATCTGCTTAATACTTTTTGTGCTATATTCTAAAGATGTGATGAGTTTTTTATTACTATAACCAACTACACGGCAATGGTTCTATAAATAATACCTAATAACTTGCATTTTCCTTAGACCATAGCATGAAAATATAAGAAATGCACTTTTAATATATTCATTAAATCTTTTGCTGTAATTTACTTACATAATTTTGCCTAAAATAGAATATACACAGGTTTTATTTAAATCTAATGTGCTTGTTAAGAATCCTTGAATATTTCCATCTTCTTTCAGTCCCAACCTTTATCATTTTCACTGTTTTTATAAGGCCTCACATTTATTCTTGATTTTTCTTTGCATGCCTATACTAGATTTGCTAGCATCTGATACTTGTGAATACTGATTCCATCTGTTCTATGACCAGAATTAGAAAGCAGATTAATTTAGTCAAGACCAAAAAGAGTACAATTTAGTTCTCATTTCTGCTGTATGTCTGATCCACAGCAACTGGAAAATGAACTCATGGGCAGGGGCAGAACAATTTTCCCCATGTCATCCTGCTGATTTTTCCCTCATCTGGCTGGATTAACTATGGTAGTAAGAAAATACAGTAAAAAAAAATTCAGTGTGTGTGCATTAAGGATGTTAAGAAGTGGGTAATGGACTAACTGTACAGTCGATACAATTTGTATCTACTACACAATTAGTTGATAAGGGGCCAACTGTGGCTCTGCAGTTTAAATGTAGTAGGAGTTTAGACATTTAAACTGAAGAGCCTCAGCAGCAGGGGTAGGCTGAGCAGTCCCACCTTGCGCTAGGTCCCGGATCACAGCACCTCTGCATTTTAAATGTAGTAAGAGTCACTCAGCTCTTACTACATTTAAAATGCAGAGGTGCTGTGATCCGGGACCTAGCGCAAGGTGGGACTGCTCAGCCTACCCCTGCTGCTGAGGCTCTTCAGTTTAAATGTCTAAACTCCTACTACATTTAAACTGCAGAGCCACAGTTGGCCCCTTATCAACTAATTGTGTAGTAGATACAAATTGTATCGACTGTACAGTTAGTCCATTACCCACTTCTTAACATCCTTAATGCACACACACTGAATTTTTTTTTACTGTATAGGGCTGGCACTGGGAGGTTTTGGGGACCGGGGCTTTCGGCAGACTGGTGACATTTCATTTGCATATTCATTATTTGCACAATGAATAAGCAAATAAAATGTTAGCAGTCCGCCAAAGGTTTGTGAATGGGTTTGCGATATAAAGAAGTTTGGGAACCATTGTTCTAGTGGACCTCTCTGAACAATAATATTTTGAGCACAAAACTGACTTTATCCTTCTAAGAGAAGAAGATAATAAAAAATAGTTAAAAACCCAGTGATCATTGGCACTCCATTCCAGATTTGAATGGAAACCAGTCACATCCATACACACTAGCTTATAAGATTCAAAGGGGTAGCTGTGTTAGTTTGTAACTGAAAAAACTTAAACAACAGCGAACAGTCCTGCAGCACCTTAGAGACTAACAAAACATGTGGATGGCATCATGAACTTTCGTGGACACAGCCCACTTCTTCAGAGAATGGAGTAAAGGGGTCCAGGTTGCAAATAAATAGCAAAGGAAGAGAGAAAATGGGGAGGGAATGGGAAGAGAAAAAAATAGAGGAAAAAATGTTGACAGTTAGTGTGTCCATGCTAAATGAGGCCCATGCAGGGTAAGTCTTTTTTTAAATCTCTTTCAACATGTCAAACTTGTAAATGAAACCCAGTTCTGTAGTTTCTCTCTCCAGAGGACTTTTGAAATTGCTTTGAAATAATAGTCACTTTTAGATTAGTGACTGCCTGGGCAAGCTGAGATGTTCAACAGGTTTCTCTTTGTTACCATTTTGAATATCTGATTTGTGTCCATCAATCCTTTGTTGTAGTGACTATCCAGTTTGGTCAATATACATGGCAGAAGGGCATTGCTGGCACTTGATGTCATAGAGTGCATTGGTGGATGTGCAGTTATATGGGCCTCTGATGTGGTGGTTTATGTAGTTAGGTCCTGTGATGATGTCGCTTGTATAGATGTGTGGACAGAGTTGGCACTGGGACTGATTGCAGGGGTGGGTTCCTGGAGGGGTATGATGGATGTGTGCCGCGTGGCTGCTGGAAAGAATTTGTTTGAGGTTATGGGATTATCTGTAGGTGAGGCTTGGCTGGTCCCCCAAGGCCGGCGAGAGTCAGGGGTCATTTTCTAGGATTGGTTGTAGATTGTTGATTGGAGGGGTTTAAATTGTGATGACCATGGTGCTCTGTTGTTTTCTTTGTTGGGCCTATCTTGAAAAAGCTGATGCCTGGGTACTCGTCTGACTCTGTCAATCTGTTTTTTCACTTCTTCGGTTTTAAGAACGCCTGCTATAAATCCTGTAGGTGTTTGTCTCTGTCTGTGGGATTGGAGCAAATCTGATTGCATCTTAGGGCCTGGCTGTAAACAATAGATTGGGAAATGTGTCTTGGATGGAAGCTATAGGCATGTAGGTAAGTGTAATGGTCGGTAGGTTTCTGGTATAAGATGGTGGAAATGTGAGTGTCATGTAATTGTATTGTGGTGTCAAGGAAGTGGATCTCTTATGCGGACTAGTTTAGACTAAGGTTGATGGTGGGATTTGCACTAGCTTATAGTTAGCTAAGCATATCACAAGACCTCTCTCTGATTTAAGTATACCCTAAAGAAAGGTCATTGATAAAATATCTCTCCTACCAGTATATTGGAAAACCACAGTAATTTTCTAATATATCTAACTACTGCAAGTCATACACGGATTATTATTGTACATACATTATACAGTGCCATAAATTTATTGTTTGTAAAGCACAGGGTAAGACATACTACTACTTTGATTATATATCTATCAAAAATAGTTTATCCATTTCTCAAGAAATCTGTGTATTTTCTGCTAAAATACTGCAAATTAAAACACAATGTAGTATGGGCAAGTTTAGGGTTTACCTTTACTTGAATGACAAATACTACTTTGAGTAAGGGTGAGCCCTGTTTTAATGTACCAACAAGTAAATCAAGTGATCTTGCTATAACTGGTTACTAATATAAGAAACAATTTGAATATACTCAAACAGTGCTCACATATCAGTAAATTATACCTTAGATGGTATAAACTATTTATGTTATCCATGATAAACCAAACTGGATTCACCAACCCTTAAACAAAATTCCTTTGTTCATGTATAAACTGTGTTAGTTACTGACAGCATACTAAAACAGATTTTAACTACTGATTTCAGGAATAATATATGTTGGTCTTATCTTACCTAGAAAAAAAGTGTCCCACCAACAGGGTGAACCTACTCTCCAATGCACAATGCCTCTGTGAAGAGCTCTCCACAGAGATATTAATAACTATTTACTGCTACTTTGTATTCCAATTTGTTTTGTCTTTATTTCCTTTTTCTTTAATAATAAAAAGTCATAGTTAATAACAATGATTATTTTGCTTGTCTTCAATTATAGTATCCCTTCAGGTATGGCAAGGCAACTGATGTAACTACAATTGTGGAAGTCACATCCTTGAACTGGCATTAAGAGAAGTAGGTATTAAAACCCAAACTACAATTTCTTGTTTCTCTAGGCCATACTTTAAAAATATATATTTGGACATCAGTATTTGGTGCCCAACACCTTGAAACATCCCTTTACACTCTGAATACACTGGCTGCAACCAAGTAATCAGTGTACAATGAATAAGAAATGTGATTTGACTGGAGCCAACAAATATTCAGGTTCAATATAGTGATGGGAAAGTTGAACTAAATTTTCTTTAAGAAGAAATGGAAATGGGGTCCTTCAGATCTAACAACATGGTTCCGTTCCCTTCTGTGGAGAGACGGCTGACAATGTGCTGGAGTCATGACAGCCTCCTGACACACTTTTCTTTCACAAGTTTGAATGGCAGAGTGGGTTGTTTACTTTCTATTTTAATCACATTTTGAGATGCTGACAATTCACAATTATACGTGACTGTCACATCTAGTACTGCCAGAGATGGGATGCATCAATAGTCATTGCAACAGTTCATTTTATTGCTCATATGATATATAATAAAAATGAAAATCTGTTGTAAACATCTTCATGTTATTGATTGCATTGATTGCGTTAATAATGAATTCTTCCCTAATAACTAGTAGGAGGTCTAGAACTGATTGCATACATATATGTAAATATGCTTCTCTCATTAAATTAAATCTCATTAAATTGGAGATTTAATTTTCAACACTGCATCGCAGTAAAACTATAATACTAGAGCAGTTAATACAGTCTATAGAAAGATAAGCAGAAAAGCATAACTGTGGCAGAGATATTAACTATCAATCATGGTTTTGCACTTCAATCCAGGGTGTAGCCATGGGTGGGCCTGAGTGAGCTGTGGTCCACTCACTTTGCATCCAGGCCCACCTCCCTCAAGCCCACTGAGGGAGCCAGCCAAGGGAAAGGGACCAGGGCATCAGGGCTCCCCCCCAGAGCTCTGGCCAGGGAACGGGGCCAGGGTTTGCTCCCCTCTGCTTCGGTGCTCCAGCTGGGGAGCCAGGGCTTACCCTGCTCCACGAAGCAAGCCAGTCAGGGAAAGGGGCTGGAGCGCCAGGGCTGAGCAGCAGGGCCAGGGCTTGTCCCACCCCACCCTGGCACTCTGGCCAGGGAATGGACCAGCGTTTGCTCCTCTCCACCTTGGCGCTCTGGCCAGGGAGCCGGGGCGGTGCTTATTGCCCCCCATTCCTCTTGTCCCACTCCCTCACCCTCCATTCTTGCCCATCCACCTGAAGTTGGGGCCCAGGCAAGTGGGCCCTTCTGGCTACACCACTACTTCAATCCCTGCAGTCATTAAAGTTTACCTGTTTCTCTTCTTCCGATGCTCCCGGTTAGAATTTTCTGACTCACTACCACTGCTGGTATTACAACGAGATCGTGACCTAAGGAAGGGAACAGTGAGTCAGAAACTAAGAACAAGAATTATCAATTAGTCCACGCTCAATGTTAACTATGTAAGATTTTGCAGCTTGTGTTTATTCGTTTCCTATTATTAGAATTTCCATAATACTGTAAAGTCTGTACAAATCAATGAGCAATATCCAAAAAGTAAGAAGTAGGAAACAGCAGAGATGCAGAGAGAATGGAAAACCTTATCTACACTTCCTAGTGATTTCACAGTGTTTTTTCTGTGTTAAATATCAGAAACAACTGTTTTGAAAGCAGATGTCCACACTGCTGTGTTGTCTGGGCTTTAGCTACTTCCCTTTCGGACCACTGAGTCCACGGAATGCTTTATTTTTCAAAATCAGTGCACACCATTCAGGATGGGCATCCCACTGTGTAGTCACAGAATCGGAATGTAGGACTGGAAGAGACCTCAAGAGGTCATTTAGTCCAGCGCCTCCCGGGCTGATGCAGGACCAAGTAAACCTAGGCCATCCCTGACAAGAGTTTATCTAACCTGACGGTGATTCCACAACCCCCTCTGGTATCCTATTCTAGTGCTTAATTACCTTTACAGTTAGAAAGATATCTAATCCACATTTCCCTTATTGCAGGTTAAGTCAATTTCTTTTTTGTCCCATCATCAGAGGACAGGGAGAACAATTGATAATGTCACTCTTTACAGTCTATAGCAACCCTTAACATATTTGAAGAGTGTTATTAGGACCCTCCTTCCCATCTTCTTTTCTCAAGACTAACATGCCGAGTTTTTAACCTTTCCTTGTAGGTCAAGTTTTCTAATCCTTTATCATTTTTGTTGCTCTCCCCTGGACTCTCTTTTTGTCCACATCTTCCCTAAAGTGTGGTGCCCAGAACTGGACATACTACTCCAACTGAGGGCTCACCACTGAAAAGGAGAGTGGCATAATTATCTTCCATGTCTTACAATATGACAGTCCTGTTAATATATTCCAGAATGATATTAGCTTTTATTTACAACTGCATTACAATTTTATCCTTATTGAATTCATGGTCCACTGTAACCTCTACATCCTTTTCATCAGTACTACCACCTAGCCAGTTATTCCTAATTTTGTAGCTGTGCTTTTGATTTTTCCTTTCTAAGACTCCCTAGTTTGCACTAGTCTTTACTGAATTTCATCTTTTTTATTTCAGACAAACTCACTGATTTGTCAAGGTCCCCGTTTTGAATTCTGATCATGTCTTCTAAAGGGCTTGCAACCCCTCCCAGTTTGGTGTCATCAACAAATTTTATAAGTAGACTTCACTCCATTACCCAAATCATTAAGAAATCTACTGAACGTTCTTCTGCTAGACTCTATGCATTCTGAGCTTCTTCTCACTGTACATCCCTGACACCTACCAGAACTCACTGCAAGTCTGGGACTGGGGGGGGGTGGGCGGGGGGAGGGTCAAACCAAAGATTTCCCATAATTCCTCTAGCTTTTTGAGAACTGAATGACTTTCAAACTGGTATAAAGCAGCATGGAGGAAATGCTTCTGAGCATTGTAATTTTGACAGTCACTATATGAATAGGCAGGTTTGCAGCAAGATAGTTTTGGATGCCTTAGAGCAGTGGTCTCCAACCTTTTTACACCCAAGATCTCTTTTTAAATCTCAGAACAGGCGAAGATCTACCGCCCCGCCCCTTCCTTAAAGCCCCGCCCCTTCCTTAAAGCCCCGCCCCTTCCTTAAAGCCCTGCCCTCTCTATTCTCCTCCTGTCCATCACTTGCTATCCCCAATCCTTACTTACACACTCTGATAAACAGTTTATTTTTAAATTATGCGATACATACAATTAAAATCACGTGTTTATAGTTATGAAATAAATGGTCTGTTTTTTATTCATGCTATTTAAATCTAAAATGAAGCATTTATAATTATACATTTTGTGGGGACAGAGTTCTGCGGCTGGGGGCAGGGGAGAGGGAACAGGGTGCTGGGGGGGCAGAGGACAGGATTCTGAAGCAGGGGACAGAGTGCCAGTGGGGACAGAGTTCGGGGAGCAGGGATGGGAGTACGGACAGTATTCGGGGAGTGGGGACAGCATTCTGGGAGTGGGGACAGGGGAGAGGGGACAGCATTCTGTAGCTGGGGACAGAGTTCAGGGAGTGGGGACAGGAGTGGGGACAGGGGAGTGGGATGCCAGTGGAGGCAGAGAGTCCCCTGCATCTCCCTC